CCCCAAAAACCCCCCCCCCCCCGGGTCCACAGAGGCCTGTGAGCAGTGAGTTCTCAAACTGCAGAAATTGATCGTAAATCTAGGAGTCTTTAGAGAGGAAAAATGGTGAGTGGATCCAAAGAGAGACTCCTTCTTGCAAAGAAGGTCATTTGTCTTGGAACCTTCTGGGTCCCCCATGCATAATTAATGTGCTGACCTCAGATGGTCTCATCCATTACCAAGGTCAATATTTAACTACCCCAACACGTATTTATTGGGTATATAATGAGTGCTAGCACTGTTGCAGGTGCCGAAAAGTAGGAAATTCTAAATTGGAGCTTATTTAAAGTAGGGTTTTCAATATGCTATCTAGTTCTGCAAAGATATTTCTCTTAACCACTGGTTGTCTGATCTCCCAGAGCAAAGCAGCTGTGCCAGCTTCAGATCCTAGCATATATGACGATCTGAACATAGAACAAATGTTCGTATTTTTCAATGGCGCAGTGATGCTTCACTTTACTGATACCCATCCTCTACATAATTATCTGTCTCTATTAAATTGGGGTTTCATTTATTCAACAGATACGTGCCGTACGGATAGACCAGGTTCAGTTCTCTGTATCTCATTCAGGTCTTCGTTGTTCCCATTGCTCAGTTGCCCATGCCCAACTGAAAGTCAAATCAAATCAAAGGAATGATTAACAAAAGTGACATTTCCAAAATGGTGGCCTGTTTCTGCAGAGAAGCCAGGGTAGAACACACATTCCCCAGAGGGCACGCAGGAGGTCCTGAAACACACCCATGGGTTAAGAACCCCACTCCAAAGGACTCAAGGACGCTGGGCCAGTCTGGTGCCCAGGAGCGTGCCTGGGGTGGCTCCAGGCGCATCCCAGCTGTGCCCACCCTGACCACTCCCGGCTGCCATTGCTGGGATAGGCAGGGCGAGAGGTGCTGATTCCTGCCGGCCTTCACTCTCCCCTAGAAGTAGAGCCGTTTAAGTCTCTGTACCTTTCGGAAAAGATCCTGCTCCGGCTCTTGAAGCATCCCAACGTGATCCAGGAGCTGAAGTTTGACGAGAAGAACAAGAAGGCCCCGGAGCACTACCTGTACCAGCGCAGCCGCCCAGTGGACTACTTCGTGCTGCTTCTGCAGGTGAGCAGGAGAGCCAGGGGCCTCCCGAGACAGAGGTGAGGCCACTTCCCCAGTGAGGAAGCTGGCCATGCCTCCCTCAGTGCCAGGTTCCTCGGGAACAAGGCCCCTGGGGTGGGCATCTCTGCATGAGCCACAGGAGGGACTTAGACATGGAAGACCGTGTCCTCGGAGCAGTGGGATCTTGGATGGCGTTTAGTCTGAGCACTCAGTGGTGCCCGGGGTGGGGTGGGCTGAGTCCTCTGGTAGAGAGGTTCTGCTTCTGAATTTCCAAACCTGCTGCTCTATGGAATTCCTAACACCACCTCCTCTCTGCTTCAACATCCCCTGACACGAAACTGTCCTCTGCCTCCTTTAACTGATTCTTGTTTTAACCCTTGCTCTGTCAGGCTGAAACCTCACCATCTCTGATTCACACTGGTCCCTGCTCTGTTCTCTGGAGCCACATCCAGCACATTCGTTCTCTGCCATGCTGCCTTGCAGTCTGTCCCTCGAATCTTCCCCCTCCCTGAGTTCCAGAAAAGGAAAACATGACCAAGTGAAAGAAGTGCCTCAGGTCCCAGCACTCACATAAGTATGATCACCTTCTGCCGGGTGCCAGAGAGGCCTGTCTTCTTCTTTGTTTCTTTTCTGGAGGGGTTTTTGCTATAGGGCATGCGTGCTCACCAGAGAGACAGAGAGACAGAAAGTGAGAAATCACCCCTCATCACAATCCCTTCTCCTCCATTCTCCTCTCGGGATCTTGGGCACGCACACATGCCAGGTGTGAGTTTAAGCCACCGGGTCTGGGTGGGCTGAGTCCTCTGGTAGAGAGGTTCTGCTTCTGAATTTCCAAACCTGCTGCTCTATGGAATTCCTAACACCACCTCCTCTCTGCTTCAACATCCCCTGACACGAAACTGTCCTCTGCCTCCTTTAACTGATTCTTGTTTTAACCCTTGCTCTGTCAGGCTGAAACCTCACCATCTCTGATTCACACTGGTCCCTGCTCTGTTCTCTGGAGCCACATCCAGCACATTCGTTCTCTGCCATGCTGCCTTGCAGTCTGTCCCTCGAATCTTCCCCCTCCCTGAGTTCCAGAAAAGGAAAACATGACCAAGTGAAAGAAGTGCCTCAGGTCCCAGCACTCACATAAGTATGATCACCTTCTGCCGGGTGCCAGAGAGGCCTGTCTTCTTCTTTGTTTCTTTTCTGGAGGGGTTTTTGCTATAGGGCATGCGTGCTCACCAGAGAGACAGAGAGACAGAAAGTGAGAAATCACCCCTCATCACAATCCCTTCTCCTCCATTCTCCTCTCGGGATCTTGGGCACGCACACATGCCAGGTGTGAGTTTAAGCCACCGGGTCTGGGACTCGAACCATGGTCAACTACGTGGGAGTCCTGCGACATAGCCATTATATCATCTGCTGGTCCCAAGAGAGGCCTATCTTAAATGAGTGTCAGAGTCACTGTGGTGGAGGTGGTCAGGCACCACGGCATGACACTGAAGTCATTTGGGAAGGACAGTTTTGGATCCCGGGTTGGCCTGAATGTGCAGAGGCCGCCCATGGGCATGCCTGTGATCCCAGTTGTCTGGGAGGCTGGGGGAAGGATGACTACATGGCAAGACCCTCCCTTCAGTAAATAAAGAAATTTTTTAAAAAGTTGGTCCAGCCCTGTGGTCCCGTGATTAAGCCGAAACCCACATGACTGACCATGTTATTCAAATCCTGGCCCCAACAGCTTGAAAAACACACCAGGCATGTGTGCGTGCATGCCCCAAATCCTGACAGGATGGAGAAATGGAAGAGCATTGACTGTGGCATGACCACGCCCCATTTGGGGGCACTGTTTCTCTTTGTCTTTCTCTGGCAAGCACCAGAGGGACTGTGTGACCTCTGGCAAAAAAAGCGTCTGTTTTTTAACTCTGATTGTTTCAGCATCTTGACTAAACCCACATTAACTTAGAAATGGCTTTCTTTGTTACAGTTCTTCTCTGGCCTCTGCTTTGACACTAATTTGCCCCACACATATCCTTCCAAATAACCTCAATAAAAAGACCTCTCAGCTCCAAAAACAGAGTCACATTCTTTACGATTGTAATTCAAGAAGGATCCCGTTACATTGTTTATATAGCATAATTTTACATAGCGTAATTTACTGCCTTATGCTTAATGTAAACTTGGCAGTTTTAAGGTAAAAGGTGGAAGGGATAAAATGTAGTAAGAGGATAGGCTCAGGAATTGCCTCTGGCTTTAAAATCCCAGGGTTGCTGAGCTAACCAGTGGCATGGGGTAAAGGGGCCAGATCCCGCGGTTCAAATCCTGGAGCTGGTGCCTTGAAAAACATGCAGAGGGGGCCAGCAGATGGCATGGTGGCTAAGGGGGCTCAACACCCACATAGCCGACGGCGGTTCAATCCTGGACCTGGCGACTTGCTTTCTCACTTTCTCTCGCTCTCTGACTCTGTCCCTCTCTGGTCAAATTTAAATCAATAATATAAAAATAATAAATAAAGTAAAATTTTGAAAATTAATTAATTAAAACATGCCAGGCATGTGTGCACACATGTCCCGAATCTTGAAAGAGAATGGGAGGAGAAGGGACTGTGGCATGACCATTCCCCATGGGGGAGAGGGGATACTTTCTCCCTCTTTTTCTTTCTCTCCGTCTCTCTCTGGCAGGTGCACACACCCTCAGGCAAATTTTTAAAAATTCTAGTGCTGCAATTTTCTAACTAACCTTGACCAAGTTGTTTAACCTTCCTGAGCCTCAAAATTGATTCCTCTGTAAGCTAGGAGTAAAATGGTTTGGACCTCATAGGGTTGTGGGGCTGACTGAATGAAAATCCATGCACATCACACATCAGGCCCACAGATGACCCTGTCCCTGACTCATGAGCCTTCAGTAGTATGGTGGTGAATTAAACAAGCTTTGCATGGAATTAAATTTTTATCTGAGCCTAATTCAGAATGGGCTCCATCTCAGACTAACCCCACGGGGCAGTTTACAGGACCTGAATTGGCCGGTGCTTGGACTTGCATCAGGAAAAGATCCTTAAGGCCTGCAACAAACACATGGTTATCTGTGACTGGACACTGCTTTATGAGCAACGAAGCAGTGATTTACTGCAAATAACTACCAGAGTTGGAGGCACTATTTCTGAAATGTAAATCTGGACAGGATTCTCATTCCCCTGTGATAAGAGCGTGAGTCCTAATGGTAAACGAGCAGAAGTGCTCAGGGTCCGGTCAGTTCTAGAATGTGAAGTGTTCATGGCACCCGTCCTTCTCTCTCCAGGGTAAAGTGGAGGTGGAGGTTGGGAAGGAAGGCCTTCGCTTTGAGAATGGAGCCTTTACCTACTATGGCGTCCCAGCCATCATGACTACTGCTTGCTCAGGTATTCCAGCTCCCAAAGCCACAGCGTACTGGGGAAGCAACAGCATGTTGTAGAAAAAGCCCCTGGGCATGTCTTGACTCCTCTTTGGACTCCTGTTAGGAACCCTCAGCGAGCCACTTAACTTCCTTGGCTTTAGTATCTCCTCTGCAAAATGGGCCTAAGAATCACTTTCCATTCTAAGTTTATGCTTAAAGAAACAAACTGGAAAAAGGAATCACAATATCAAGTGTTATGGATGGAGAATGGTATTTTTCAACATGGAAAGACAAGCTTGCTTTGCTTTTTACACTTGTTTCTTACTGCCTGGTTTTTACAGTTAATTGGTGACGGGGGTGGGGTGGAAGGGGGACTATCCCCGTAAGAAGGTATTTTTCCTGAATTGCCAGTGAAACCCACGACCTCCTTCTGTTCGTAGATAATGACGTGCGGAAGGTTGGGAGTCTGGCTGGATCCTCCGTCTTTCGTATGTATCTCTCAAACCCCTTCCTCGTCCTCCCCATCGTGGTCCTGCCTCGGCCCACTCTGGGGACCTGGACCAAGCACTGTGAGGCTGGGCTGGGCTAAAGCAAATCTGGCAGCCTCTTTATAATGCTCTGCCAGGAACTGTCCTTCCTGCCAGGTACCTGCAGACCACAGGGGCTTAGGGTCTGTATGTCCGGAATGTTTTCTGCAGCGTCTCTGCTCACACACAAGTGATGAATGGTGACAGTGGGG